TTTTTCCGAGTTTTTGAAGCGAATACATTTCCATATTTAGCGATGGTGTTTTAAGTAAAAAATGATCTTGCATTTAGGCTTTTTCTGGTATGTATCAATTTAAGGTACAACATCTCACACTATCGAACGATGATCACGAAGTTGTACTGTTTTCATCCACTGAAAATATTAGTTGTGAGGCCTGTGTGTGAGTTTAGCATGGATTAGAGCGCAGGTTGATGAAAAGAATTTACTATGAAAAACTCTTACATTTTATTGAAATTTTAGTCATGATATTGTAGCGGGACACTTCGTGCACCGACTACAATGTATTGACTCAATCGCAAGTATGTATTACAATAGGTTAAGATACGTATAGCAGACACTCACGAGCAGCCGCCAAATATCACCTTTTACGAGGCAAACATGTGTCACGAGGATCTGCCAAGCGCAAATCGATATTGTAATCCAACCAAACAATGCATTGACATTTTTTTCATAGACGATTGTGCTTAACCCGTTGTGGTCACACCTCCAAATAATAACGTAGTGGTCATATGGGGTCAGCGTGACCCCACGCGGAAAAACCTTCGCCATTTCTCTCCCATTTGATGGATTGACTTGAGATTGGTTTGGACATAGTTTATAAGTACCTCTTTGAGAGGAAATAGTTTATTTACCTCTTTATAATTTTTTTAATAATGAAATTGTTGGATGAACTTTTTTTTTGAAATTTTGGGTTTTTTTACTAAAAAGGTCATAAACATTCAATTTTTGAGATACAGCGGACAGGTTGTGGGATTTTACTCTTGATAATATATACTTTTAAGAAAAATACGACTTATAATGATCGGCCGGAAAAAGTATATTTATTTTGAAAAGTGAAGTTGGCCGTTTTAACGTAATTTCGAAATGTGAATAGGGTAAGCATTATCATAAAATATAACACTGAAAAACATTTTTTTATAGAACATTTATTTATTATACGAATAAAAAAGATGAAATGAACAAAAAACTATTCTACACCAGCGCAATCAGTGCACATTAGCGTGCGATGCTCATCGCACATAGGCCGCAAACATGATGGACATTGCATTTTGGTTTTCTTGTCCTTACCCCGTTTGCACAGCATACACCTTTTTCGCTTAGCAAACTCATAAGTTTCTTCTTTGGACGATTCACCTATTTTAAGTTCGAGTATTGAAGCGATACCTAATTTTATCTGTGACTGAAGAGCAGCAGTAGAATAGCGAGTTTGTAAATGTGGCGTGACTAGATACAGCGAAAGCTTGTCGAGGGTTTTTTTTGCTGTTATGCGAGACTGACAACCTGCATTAACTTTTTGACAAGTAAATAGAATGCGCGCATTTACGCTAGCTTGGTCTAGCATTCCCATAAATACTCGCATTGGCCAACGATTGGTTTTTCTATTTACAGTCTGCGCATGACACAGCCAATCGAAACAGTCAGTACCTCCTTTTGTAGCATTATAGTGACGAACCATAACTGGTTTCTGATCTTCAACATCAGTAGTTAATTTATCCGTAGAAATAACTAAAACTATTTTATTTTTTTTGGGTGAATACGATACCAGGCTCATAGAATCGGTGTGACAAAATTTCCAGTCTGGTGGGTTTTTTGACGCAACCTTCATCTCTGCAGGAATTTCTTGTTTATTTTTACTGCAGGAGAGGAATGGACGTGAACCAGTTGTCACAGGTAACAGTTCTTTTTGTTCCATGAATTGGTGCAGTCACTTTTCGAAGATAATATTCCGATAATTTTTCTCCTTGTAGTAGATCTTTTATCTGAATTTTTCCTAAATACGGCATCGCATAAATTAAGTATGATGTCGATGGATCATTCAATGAAAAAAGCTTCAAGCCGTATTTATCAGGCTTTGACTTTATATACATTCTAAATTTGCATCGTCCACGAAATCCAAGCAGTATTTCGTCTACGGTGCAATCGCGACTTGCTTTATAACAATTCGTGCAATTGGAAATAAAAATTTCCCAGATTTCACGAATTGCTCCGAATCTATCGTCCTCGTCTCTCTTGCTTTTATTGTCAAATCTTAAACAGGCAGATAAAAGCATAAATCGAGATCGAGGCATTACACACCGATAAAAACTTATGCCGATTTGCGGACTCCATAAATCATGCGTATTCACGTTCGATGATTTCCAAGCCCCACTAAAGTACAATAAACCTATAAATGCCCTCATTTCTTCTTCATCGGTGTGGTGATGGTAAGTTTGGAGTTCTTTATTTTGCTGAATCATTTTTGCACAATGCTCTTCTATTTGATCGTTGATGTGCTCAACGATAATCTTCACAATATTTGGTGTAAATAAAACATCCCAAAGTTCTTCAACTTTTTGTAACTCCGCAGCTGGACCATCCGGTCCTGGCACATAAACACGATCCACATCGCTCAGTCGATCTATTAAAACAGAATAAAAACAAACAATTATAAAATAAATCTCAATTATAAAAGAATAAGAGAAATTATATTGTATCGTCTTATTCATTCTACATAGGGACGCTCCTTCTTTCTCCTTCCTTCTTCTTACTTCTCCTTTCTTCTGCGTACAACATAATATATATGGCCAATTCTCTGTGAAATCGAATGGCCAAAAAATTTTTTTTTCTGCAAATATGAAAAACTTGCTGTTTCCGATGTCAGAAATGTCCCCAAATTTTATTAGAATTTTTGGGACCATCTATCACTCTTTTTCAGGGGCCCGAAGTTGGCCATTTTAGGGTTTTTTTGAAATTCATGAAAAATCACAAATATTCAAATAATTCCTGGATCAGGGTAGAATGATTCAAAAGTAAAAGTGCCCAGCAACTTTTTTGTTGGAAATTGTCCAAATTTTCAGAAAAAAAATATGCCAAAGTGATTGGAACAATCTAGGTAAGTGTAAAGCAAAAAAACTGCCAAAGGGACATAAATGATGAAATCTAATCGAGTTCGAACCGGACTTTCATTTCCTAAACTATGTAAAAAGCTTCCCAAAGATGTCAACTACTGCCTGATAAAGTTTTGTAATGGGTCTTAAAGTTTAACGCAATGTAGACAACAATGTGTGGCGAAAAACATGCAAAAAAGGTCAAAAATAGGCCCAAAATGCCTAAAATCACCAAAAACAGCCATTTTCAGGCCTTTTTTGCATGTTTTTCGCCACACATTGTTGTCTACATTGCGTTAAACTTTAAGACCCATTACAAAACTTTATCAGGCATTAGTTGACATCTTTGGGAAGCTTTTTACATAGTTTAGGAAATGAAAGTCCGGTTCGAACTCGAGTAGATTTCTTGTTTTATGTTTTTTTTTTATGTTTTCCCACTATTATGTATTTAGGTGGCTCCAATCACTTTGGCATATTTTTTTTCTGAAAATTTGGACAATTTCCAACAAAAAAGTTGCTGGGCACTTTTACTTTTGAATCATTCTACTTTAATCCAGGAATTATTTTAATATTTGTGATTTTTCATGAATTTCAAAAAAACCCTAAAATGGCCAACTTCGGGCCCCTGAAAAAGAGTGATAGATGGTCCCAAAAATTCTAATAAAATTTGGGGACATTTCTGACATCGGGAACAGCAAGTTTTTCATATTTGCAGAAAAAAAAATTTTTTGGCCATTCGATTTCACAGAGAATCGGCCATATGTATATATACAGACCAATTCCCCCTAGTATATATATACGTATATATTATATTACACACATACAGGAAGAAGAATCGTACCTATGTAGTATGAATGAGATGAGTGAAAGTGTATGTATACATGTGAAATTTATACAAACGCGCTCGTGTGTGTGAATGTGTATGTATGTGTTCACTTTTACCTGACTGTCGCTTTCGAAATGTTGAATTCCAAACGTAACCGTTTTTTCCACGGAGTTTGGACACGGGGCGTCCACGTGCTGAAGATTGGAGAAGGCGCTCTTGCAGCGACGCTTCTTCAAGATCATTCGCCATTTCATCGTCAGAATTATCTTCAGAGCTGCCACTGTCGTAGTCTGAGTGCTCAGATTCCTCTGATAAGACGTCTTCTGTTTCAGAGGCTTCACAATCAAAAATTTCTTCTTCTTCATCCTGCTCAACGAGCAAATTGATGAAGGGCCGATTTTGGAGTTTACGAGGCATCTGTTTTTGAACGTTTTTGGACATTGTTAAAATCATTCTCAATGTCAAGAAAAAAATTATGATCGCGCACACTTATACTCATGTTCTTAAAGATCACTTTAATACAAAATTTTATGAAATTAGTTTTCAAAATTATAAAAATATTTTCTTCACTATGGTCACATGGGGTCTGAGAGACCCCACACAAAAAGACAACCTACTTCAATGAAATGTACAGAACGACTGAACAATGTTGGCCGTTCCCGCGCATGGAGGGACGTTGGACCAACAACATACAGCGCCACAAGTTTGATTTTTAACAGATACTTTCAAGATATTTCATCTCAAACATTGTCTGGGGTCATCTGGACCCCGAGTGACCACAACGGGTTAAACCTTTTTCGAAGAAACAAATACACTTTTCTCGAACCACGATTTCCGGTACAAAATTGCTTATAACCTAAACCAATACATTAATCTCCATTTTGGACGATAAATCTGAAAGATAATAAAATTTTGCATCGAAATGCATTTTCTGATAGTTGTCAAATTTTTTTGGGGTATGCTCAGACATTTAAAGAAAACAAATAGTTCTTTCAATCTTATTTAAATTGGAAATCAAAATGCTCGTTGAGTGACCTCTAAAACTTAATTTGGAGCTTCATTTTTAGGTATACTGAAGACATTAAGATTACAAAATCGAGATTTTGAAGACCTTCAATTTTTTTGAATCAGTCTAATAGACACGTTATAATCCTGTTATGTACTGAACTTGCTTTTCTTGTCATTTAACGTCAAAATGATATCTTCAGATTGACTTCAATTTATATGAATCATTTTAAAATATAATTACAACTTTTATTAATTTTTTTTTTTAATAATAGATGTGAAAAAATTCAATTTGGAAATGGCAAAAAAATTAGGTGCTGATGGTGAATTATTAATTGTGAATCCTGACTCAATAGAGGAGAATATAAAAAATATCAAAACCTTATTTGAAGGTTTTCCGAACATTACGATTGATGCAACTGGAGTTCAATCAACTATTAACTTGGCTTTACTGGTAAGTATATAATATATTTGGGTCAAAATAATCCTGTTGTGTTGGTAGGTTTAGTAATTAAATCACACACGTATTAAATAGGAACTTTATTATTTAAGTACATAGTATAAGTGTAAATTGGAGCACCGGTGCTGTACATCAGGCGCGCGACCTATAGCTAGCAAGCCTTGTAGCCAAATGACTCGAGCGTGCGTGACGCAGTAGCTCGCATACATACTTTCACATACATACCATACAATACCAAAGATGGCGCGCTAGTATACATCACAAATACTTTTTTACAAAACCGTGCGCACGTATGTCACCGATCTTGACGCGCTTTTGGTATGTTATAGTACATGTTAAAAAGGTCGCAAAAACAAAATTTTAGACCCCCTCCCCCCTCCTGCCCCCCCCTTCCGGTATAAACGTCCATTTTCGATCTATATTTTTTCTGAAGACATGAAGAAATTAAAGAATCTGAAAAAATTCGCAAAAATACTTTTCAACAATCTAAACAACCTTGAATTTTTTCAGATTTTTTGAGTGCTTCAGGCCTTCAGATAAAATCATTAAAAATTCCGAAAATCGAGATACGGCGATATAAGCCGATATAGTACGAAAAATTTTTCAGTTTTTTATCGCATTGAAAAACATTACCTCAATTTTTTTCAGATTTTTTCAGATGACCTAACGCACCCTTTGAAGCCAAAACCCGCTTTTTTTAACGAAAATAATTTTTTAGAGCGATACTGAGCCTTGAAAAATCTGAAAAAAATTTTTCTTCTTTTTCTCATCAAAATATATTATCTCAAATTTTTTCAGATTTTTTAATTGAAGGCGATAGCTTCTAGGGCCGAAAAATGCTATTTTTAACAAAAAAACGGTTCCTAGAACCCGATGGTTCCGGTAAAAAAATTTGAAAATATTTTTTTTGAATTCCTTGACAAATTTTAATGAATTTTGACCGTTTCAAAAGTTCGATTGAAGCTTCCTAGCTCAATGTAGTCGAGAGGAGGGGGTCGAGAGGAGGCCGCGCGCTGCTACCGCTGCTGGAGTCCTAGTCATATGGCCGCTCGCTGCAAGGGGCCCGACCACACGGAGCTCTGCTATCGATGCGGCCAGAAGGGCCATCAAGCTAAGGACTGCAAAGACCAACCAGCGTGCGTTCTCTGCCAAGAGCGAGGAGCTGAAGACAACCGTCATGCGTCCGCGAGCTCGAACTGCCCTCTGGCACGGAAGGTCACCCAAGCCCGCCGATGATGAGAGTCCTCCAGCTCAACCTCAAAAAACCGCTTTTTTCAACGAAAATAATTTTTTTAGGACGATACGGAGCCTTTAAAGATCTGGAAAGAGAAAAAAATGATTGCATGATTTCGATTGGAAATTGCCTCAGCTTTATGATGGTGAGGTCAGATTTTCTGAAATTTTCCGTTTTACCCAGGAAAATCGCTGGGAAAACTTTAAAGTCCATTATCTCAAAAATTTCATTTTTCAGATTTTTTTAAATAGTCTAGATCGAAAGATCAGGAAATTTTCCATCGATATAGACATTGTCCAGACAGGCCTTTTTTGATTTCAGAGAGATATAGCGAGAGAAAGAAGAAAAAACGTGACTTTTACGTGGGTTTTGCTTGCCCAGCCGCCCGCGCTCGCGAAAAAACCACGTTTTTTCTTCTTTCTCTCGCTATATCTCTCTAAAATCAAAAAATGCCTGTCTGGAAAATGTCTATATCGATGGAAAATTTCCTGATCTTTCGATCTAGACTATTTAAAAAAATCTGAAAAATGAAATTTTTGAGATAATCTACTTTAAAGTTTTCCCAGCGATTTTCTAGGGTAAACGGAAAATTTCGAAAAATCTGACCTCACCATCGGAAAGCTGAGGCAATTTCCCATAGAAATCATGAAACCATTTTTTTTCCATCGTTCCGGCAAAAGTATTTACTTTCGCCGTACACGTAGCTTAGAAAAAGAAGGACTTTTGCCCACTTCTGCGCGCCCGACAGATGCAGCGGTTGCTATGGCCAGCTCAGCCTAGCAACGTAATATTTATAATTTTATCGCCCGTATTACTTAGCTTACAATTGGTCGGAGACACATCAATACGTAGAGATGTTATAATAATTACGTGATAAAAATTATGCAGAGTCCTGAAATATCATTCGCGCATGATGGTATGTCTACGGACGAGAAAGAATGTTGTGTGTAACTTGTTACGCACAATTCAAAATGAAAAAAAGGTTTTTTATATTAATGTTATTGATGCTCGCCCCCCCGACCAGCATTACTCGCTTCGCTCATGATGCTAATGTCGGGGCGAGCATGAAAATTCGAAGCTCAATTACAGAGTCATATGTTAACGTTTAGTATGACTTGCTACGCTCACAATACTAAAAGTAAAGGAAAAGAATTCGCATCGCATGTAACTGATTTTATGTAAAAGTCAATAATAATCATAACCGCTTTGTTTTTTGCACAACCAGGCGGCAAATCAAGACCTCGATGCGAAAGAAAAAACAAATGCAAGTCCTTATGTGCATTGAGATCTTGAATTTATTTTTATATTTTGAATTTATTTGGATAATTTTATGAAAACTTTTGCACGGGGATGGAAAAAAATACTATTTCTTACACGGGTGAAAAATGAAACACCCTCATACAGCCTCTGCTTGACTGATGTAGGCCTGCGTCTCCGTCGCACATCTCCAGATGGGCGCTCCATACAGGAGGATCGAGTTGACGACGTGAGCATAGAGTTCTCGTCGGCTACTTCTGGGCCCACCGGTGTTGGGCATGATCTTCGCGAGTGCTCCAGACACTCTTGCTGCCTTTTTTCTGACGGTTCGGAGGTGTTGGTCGAACCTCAGCCTGGAGTCAATGTGTAGGCCCAGGTAGCGGATGCAGGGGGACGACCTTATGCTGCAGTCACCCACTGTGATGGTGATGGTTTCCGTTTTCTTCCTGCTAGTGATCAGTAGGGCCTCGGTCTTGTGGTCAGCCGTTACAAGGCTGAGCTCGTGAAGCTTGCCGCGCACCTGCTCAATGGACAGCGTCCAGATCGTGTTCGATCTGCCACAAGTACTTAGCAACGGCCACCATTTCGCTGTCGTGGTCGAGAACTACGGCACAATCTTTGTCGAAGGTAACTTTAAAACCAGCATCTACGGTTTTAGCAACCGTGACTAAATTTGTGCGGAGATCAGGCACGTATAGCGTGTCCTTTAGGGTTATGGTTTGACAGCTCTCACTTGTTTTGATGCTTACGTCGCCTTTGGCGTAGATGTCTGCTATGGCGTCGCTGGCAAGTTGCAGGTGGCCCGAAGTGCGCGATGTATTCTGAAAACGGTCCTTGTCACTGCATACGTGTGAGGTGCTGCCGCTATCCAAGCACCATCTCGAGTTCACTGCTGCGCCGGTTAAGAAGCAAAGGTTGGAGCTATCGCCTTTCGACTCTTGTTTCTTCTTTTTGAAGCAATCGGCCTTTTTGCAGTAGCCGCATTTGTAGGTTGGCTTTTGTTTTTGCGTTGTAGAGTTACCTTGCGCGGATTTCGTGGAAGAGCTGCCTGATAAGCGATTGGGGTGGGGTCGCGTATGTGAAAACATGGCCGAGTTATGATGATCTTCGTCTTCTCTGTGGCGAGATCTATACTCTTCGAGTATCTTGATTTTAAGAATCTCGAGCTCGGGTAGCTTATCACGTGACTCAATCGCGCATCTGAAATTTTCGAAACTATTTGGTAGGCTTTGCAGCAGCATGTTTGCTAATAGATCGTCGTCGAGGTTTGGTCCAGTCGACTTTAATTTATCAGATGCGTCGAAGAAGCTCTTTAGGTGCTCGACCATGCTATCGCTGTCGGCCATCTTGTGTTGGGTGAGCTGCTTATATAAAGCGGCTTTTCGAGCTGGCGTCTTGGATGCGTAGGTGGACTCGAGTTTTTCCCACACGTCGCGCGATGAGGCACAATTTTGTATCTCCTTCAATTCAGATGGAGAGAATAAGGTCGGAATTGGCTTTTCGATCCTTTGTTAGCAAGGCCTTGTATAATGTTTCGCTCGCGGCCGCTCCATTTCCTGTCACTATTTCTGGTGCCGGTGTGTCGCCCGAGACGTAGTCCCAGCTATTGTTTTTGATAAGCAATGCTTCTACTTGAATCCTCCAAGTATCGTAATTTTCGCGTGTAAGCAGTTCGAAGCGCGGAGTATGCGTTGTAGATTGACTTTCGGACATCTTGAGTCCTGGTCGATGTTGCGCGTACAGTGTTAACCTCACTTTTCGACGCCTTCGTATTTCACACTTTTAAATTACACTTGTTTCACTTGATTGGCAAATTTTACACATTCGGTTATGTACAAAGATAATGCTCTAGCATTTACTAGTCAATCAGTTTAGGCGATAAGGCAATAAGGACAACACTTTTTTTGTGTGTTTTTTTGTGTTCACAACATTAGAAATATGGCGAATCGTGAACACGATGAAACAACGTAAACATTCGGTTATGTTTCGCGTGTGGCTGGTCCCATAACCTGTAGAATGGGTAAAATAAATAACACACCAATCTTAAACACTAACAATCTTCATTGAAAAATGCCGGGCACATACAGTCGTGACGACGAGCGTAGAGCGAATGGAGATTACAGTAACAAGAGAGAGTAAGCAACGCGAACGCGAACGACATCTGTGTGTGTGTGACCAAAGAAAGAATGATTGAGATTAACTGAATGAAATTATAAAACTAACACTAGGTGTAAGAAGATTAAACAGAAAAAGTACCCTGAAGCAACAGTCACCATTACAACAATCTGAATCTGGACAAGTTGAACAAGTTAAAGTTAGTGTGCCTGACTTAGCCAAAGAAATTGAACTTGAAACAGAGAAGACCAACAGTCGTCCATCTCATCAGTGGATACCCACCAAATCAATTGTCTGTACGTTTGAGGGCCAGTACCTCCCTGACAAAGTCTATATATGGAGAGTGTGCGTAGAAGTTGAACCATATGTTCAAAATATCATGCAATGC